AGTTAGCTAATGTGATTGAATATACAAACACCATAATTGTAGTAATTTCACAATCGTTTGTTTATTTCGTTAGTTCACCCATTTGATTATTAGCGCCTATATAGCCACTACTAGGAAAGTCCTACTCACTGCCTTCTCATGGTGAGAGTATTGTTTTCTAAATCAAAAAACAAATGTCCGACACTTTATTCGGATTGGTGGATATAAAAGATCTACGTAGAGGAGTTGGAAAACCCTAATTCCATACCAACAGTACACACAGGCTCTAAGATTCTGAGGAAACAAATGGTGTATGAACCTATTGTTAGTCACTAGCTACCATGGAACTGCATCTCTTAACAATGTTCCACTCTTTTGTAGATTAGACTCCGAGGTTAAAGGTTCGAGGAGTGGCCTCCCCTAAGAAAACCATCTTCTTCGGTTCAGGTACTTGAACAGTATTCTAGTCCTCACAGGAATTAAATAATGAAGTGTAGTGCATACATATTTAGTGCCTTCTTGTACCAATGTTTGTGTGTTCAAATGAATATATTGATTACCGGATCACTCCAGCATTTTGACCACGAACAGATCTGACAACTAGTTATCTAAATGACTTTTAAACTTTCATCTACTTCATATATTGAAGAAGAAGAAGAAGATGAGAGGAAGCAGTTCATCAAATAAAACTTTCTTTTCAACGATTTCATTTACTCAATTTGTACAATCGTTTTTATAGTTAATGTTATTTGCTGAAACAGTATCGAATAGTTGAAGTGGTAATGTTATCATGAATTGGAAATCACATATTGAAAGGATGTTATGTAATAATTGTCTAATGAAAAAGTGATAAGGTGAAGATAATTGTTTACTTAAAAACTAATAAGTAATCATTGTGAAACGAATTGAAAAATAGTAGATAGATTATAGAAGATAGAAAGGGGGATCAGTGTTATGGAACGATGAGAAACTGAACATATTTTGTAATGGTGGAGAAGATTTATAGTTCACTTGAATGATTTTAATGATGATTTTTATTCTCTATGCTGGATAGTTTAATCGTGGATTATTTATTATGCTCTTCTGAACAATATCATCAACATTTCTACCTGAAGTTAAACTCAATAGTTGAAATCATGAGCCAATTGGAGCTGGACCACCATGGAAAACCTGAAAGCATTGGATGGCCGTTTCGTCCTAGTGCGGGACTCCTCAGCAGTGTGTGTCCACGATCCTGCACCAAAGTGATCTGAACCCACCTCAAACAATGAATGAAGGATTGCTCAAGATCATGGTTTGATTGAAGTTAGACATTAACACCGTTAGATGTCAGCTCAATGGTCTAGCGGTAAAGCATTCATGCATAAGACCGAATGTCCTGAGTTCAAATCCTTTTAATGTGGGATCGTGAATACACTCTGCTAAGGTGTCCCATACTTGGATAAAACAGTCACAACCAGTACTTCCAGGTGTTCAACAGTGATCTAGTTTTCGTTCGACTCATGAATTCAACTATGAAAAATAATACAATGTCTACAACAAACTTTACTGCCAATAAATTTCTCTTTGTATTTCACCTTAATACAATATGAACTTACATTTAGCCTATAAATTAATCATACTTTTTATGATAAGGTTATCATTAGACAGTATCCAAGACATCTATGAATGTTTTATGTACATTATCACAGTGTTATATACATCAAACTTAATTATATACCTAATAAATGGTGTTTTTCATTCAATGGTATTCAGATATAAATGTGTTGTATATAGTGGACTTTATTAGTATCCATTTTCTTTATGTAAACAGGAAGTAGACTTATAAACCTGTAATTAAAACAATAAAAAAGTTTTTTTTAGCAGTTACATTCCATACGCTTTATAGTTACTAAGTGTATTGATTACCAAGGTTATATATATATATATATATATATATATATATATATATATATATATATATTCTAATTAACTTTGGTGAATAAATCAATCATTGATAGCACTGATTTACGTATCAATTTGATTGATTTAGTCAACAATTCATATGAATGGATGCGCACTGTTGAGGAGTTTCACATTGGGACGAAACGGTTGTCCAATGTATCCAAGTTTTCTGGTGGTGGTCTAGCTTCAATTGACTCATCAATTTAACTATTCAGATTATTATAATATAATATAATCAACATATTCACATTAGTGACTGGCTTCAAGATGGATTTCCTGAAGTTCTAGTGAGAAACTGTGATCAGTGGAGTTCGACCAGGTTCGTTGTGAGATAGTAACCGTCTGAAGATAGTGGTGGACGTGTTGTTCAATATCATGGATTAGTAAAGATTAGACATTAATACTGTTGAATGCTAATCGGCTGAGTGATCTAGAGGTTAAGTGTTCGCACTCGAAACTGATAGATCCTGGGTTGGAATCTGACAAGGCGTGATCGTGGATGCGCACTGCTGAGGAGTCCCACATTGGGAGAAGAAAACGTCCATCCAGTGTATCCAGGTTTCTCGTGGTGGTCCTACTTCAATTGACTCATGATCTCTACTGTTGAAATTAATTAGTCCATCAAGTGAGACAGTTCTTTTCTGTATAAAAAATTATATATTTACACTCATGTAATAAGTTAGTGGTGATTATTATAGCCTGTAAAGTAGGTCAAACTAGTAAACTGTCAAATAAGTGTGTAATAATGGTGTGATTTTAACCGTAGAAAGACTGAAGACTATATAAAGCGAGAGAGTTCTTGTTTTTTCCTTTTTTTATTCCGAGAATCATCATCGAAGAGCAATAACAAATCATTGAAAAAGAAAATATAGAGTAATGTATTCAGTCCGACACAAAACCTCAGAACCTCAAGAGGTTGGATTCCGTCCTGTATGAGGTGTTGTGTATACTCTAATAACAAATTTCAAATTAAGATATTTGATCTGAAGTCATTTTGTATTTAGAACTATTACGTTAGATGGTGGTTGGAGGTAGTCGACAGGAAATCCTGGACCCGGGTTTCGTGTTACTTGGCACTCCTCAGCAAGGTGAACCTGTAATCTTGAGGGAACTGGTGCTCCCTCGTGGATTCGATCTCGTGTCACCCAGCTTCATAGTCAGAGACGTTACCACTGAGCTATTCGAGCTCACAATAGTGCACGCAGTGTTGACTGGTGGCCACATTGCAACATGATCGATAGCATTCGATCTGCACTAATAAGAACTAGACACGCATGACATTGATCGCCACCCAGTGATCAATCAATTGAGAACTGTTACATCTTTGATCTGTCTATGCACCAATATACAGAAGAAAACTCGTCTCACTCTAGATTAAGACCTTGACATGATAGGTTAATTGGTTCAACCTTGAGGCTAGAATTACACGAGTTCGAAGTGTGACCAGCCGTGTTGGGTAGAGTAACGAAAACTACCTTATCGCTTAATTGATTAACAAGCGTACGAAAGTGAAGTTGAGTCGATTGGAACAGTACTCGATTTATTCTTGATTCCGATTCAGACTCTGATTCGATTCCAATTCACATTAGTACGAAAATATACATGAATAATGTAGATGACTAACATGATCCCAATGCAGGAACACTTAGACATTTTTACTGATTATTCTAAACTTTAATCAATATTATATTTTTGGTACAATGTATCATTCTCAGGACAAAGTATTTCAACCAGTTTCCGTCCCTTATTTGTTGATTGATCCAGACGATTATATATATAGAATGATCGCCAATTAGATGTTAACAGTTCAGAAATCGATATCTGAATAATGTACATTGTTTTCACCGTGTATTGCCAGACATCACAATATCTCTGATTGGGCCATTTGTAACGTGTACAACGAAAGATTGTGAATTTTTCACAAACACATATGAATAAGTTATGCAATTAATTGACAACTTGTTGAAATATCTAGATAACAGGAACAGATAGTCTAGATGTTCAAGCAGGCTGCTAAGTTGTTCATTCGTATGTGCAAAACTAGGCATTAAGGTAGAAAAATAGAGTAACAAAGGTTCCGTATAAATTACGATAACTATGAGACAAAAAAGGATATGACAGTGGATCATATGTCAAACAAAAGCTTATGGCTCGTAGAATAAACTAAAGGGGGGGGGATAGAAAATATTAATGCTTCAAAAACTTTGAATTCAATGAAATAACATCCTCAAAATTAGTTTCCATCATTTACCATAACTTCTTGTTTCTTTGTTCATATCAGGAAAAAAATACCGAAGTTCTCTCCTCGATAATGGTAGACTGTGGCGCAGTTTCATGGATTAGTTGACGTTAGACATTAACACCGTTGGATGCTGACCGGCTCAGTAGTCTATAGGTTAAGCACGAGATCGACAAGTTCTGGCTCGGATCTCGTGAGGCAGGATCATAGATGCGCACTTCTGAGGAGTCCCACGATGGGACGAAACGGGTGTTCAGGGTTTCCAGGTTTTTCACGGCAGTCTAGATTACACTGACTCATGATCTCAACTATTAAAATTACTACAATGTCCACAAAAATCCTTCGGATACTAATAAACATATGCTCACACTAGTGGCTGGCTTCAAGAATTCAACTGTATTTGTTGTGAAATAACAACTCACTGAAAACAGTGGTGGATATGTCACTCAATTTCATGAATTGATTAAAGTTAGAAAATAATACCATTAGATGTCGGCAAGTTTAGTGATCTATAGGCTAAGCATTCGCGAACAAGACCGACAGATGTTGGGTTCGAAACTCTCGAGGCGTAATTGTGGATGTGCACTGTTGAGGTGTCTCACATTAAAAGGAAAAAAAACAACTGTCCCATATAATTTACATCGACTCATGATCTCAACTATTAAAATAACTACCATCTCCACCAAAACCCCTCTCTGATTAAGATCCTTCATCGTTTTGTTTTTCTCTTTTTTCATTTTTAGCTTAATCCATACAAATGATGATAAGAAATATACATCCAATATTCAATTAATTAATTGATTCTCTTCGAATCATAGAAGACAATCATTCAATTACCATGATCATTCATCATTATGATTATGTAATACATTTACCATTGATTACATTATCATTATCTAAACTATATTTTTATATCAGCTTTCTATTCTACTTTCTATTATGCTTATCTATTCATGAGAATACAATACAAAATATTAATGAATTAACATTTACAATAAAAGAAGAATTACCCATAGGTACAATTATTGCATCAAATATACAATTAGGTAATTTATTTTTACATTTTAATCACTATGGTAACATTGAAAATATGACAAATATTATTAAAATATTAAATCATAAAGATCCAGGTATAAATTGTTTTCATTTTCAATGGTTACCAATAAAACCATTAAATAATTCGAATAGAAATCAATTACAATTGATTATTACGGATCGAATTGATCGTGAAATTATATGTCCAATTAAAACTCATGAATTACGTAATAATAATAATAATAATATGAATGATCCTAATCATCTTGATCTGGATCATATCAATGATCTACAATCTATAAATTCTGATTGTATCATTACATTAAGAATAGCATTATTTATAAATAATCTACAAAAAATTTATCAAATTCATATTTATATAGAAGATATTAATGATAATCCACCAAAATGGAATATGAATAATCTAACAATCTATTTTCATGATGAAGATTCACCAGGGACAAAACAATCTATAGTATTAGCTTATGATATAGATATTGATATTAATGCTAAAATTACATATCAATTATTAAATAATGATATATATTCTTATCAATTCAATCATAGAAATTATAATCATAATGATAATTTGAATTTACGCGGTACCGATATATTTGAATTAGTTCAAGAAACATTGAATCATGAACGTTTATATTTAAGAACACGATATACATTAGATCGTGAATCAAGACCTAATAGTTGGAATTTATTATTATTAGCTATTAATAATGATAGTTTAATACAATTAAGTAGTCAATTATTATTACATATTCATTTAATTGATATTAATGATAATAGTCCCATGTTTACACAAACATTATATAAACCACAATTACCAAATCAAAAAATTGGTATTATCCCTGAAAATTATCCAATCAATAAAACAATTTTAAAAGTATCGGCTACAGATATAGATGAAGGTGAAAATGCTCAATTAACTTATCATTTAGCCATAGATACTACTACTACTACTACTAATCAATTATTATGTCATTTTTTTAATTTAACACAAAATGGTGAATTATATCTTATTCAATCATTAAATGTAGATAGAATAACACAAATCAATTCAACTCGTTTATATTTACCCATATCAATGATTAATTTAGATGTGATTGTTATAGATGGTGCTATGATACCATATAGAAAAACTGGATCAACTACTATTCAATTACAAATAGAGAATATTGATGATGAACCACCTGAGATCTATATACATCCTATTCAATCTCTACAACAACAACAACAACAAAAAGATGATCATTCCATATTACATAATCAACACTTCTATGAAACAGAGATTGGTGTCTATGAAAATCAAACTATTGGACAATTAATTGCTTTAATTGAAGTAAAAGATCCTGATGATTTAATGAATCCAACTACTATACAATGTAGATTAATTGGTTCTAATTCGAATGATTTTTATTTATCTTATCATAATTCAATCAATAATGAATATCAATTATATACTAATACAATATTAGATCGTGAAATACAATCTAAATTATTATTATCCATTGAATGTAAAGATTTAGCTAATCATATCGCATTACATAATTTGATCATACATATATTAGATATAAATGATCATCAACCACAATGTATGGAATCTCATTATTATTATTCATTATATGAAGATGATAATGAACAAGAAGATCAGGATGATCGTGATCGTGATCCTGATCCTGATCATGGTGTAAATTATCGATTGGATAAAACAATGAAAAATCGTACATGGTTAACATCAAATGGTTTAGCTTATATTTTAGCAACTGATAATGATATTGGTATAAATAGTCAATTAATTTATGAATTATCTAATGAATCTATTGAAAAAATCAATTATAAATTTACAATTCATTCTAATACTGGACAATTATTTGCATGGGGACCATTTGATCGTGAATCTATATCAATTTATGAATTAATCGTTATAGTAAAAGATAATGGTAACCCTATACAATTAAGTACAAATTGCTTAGTAACTATCAATATATTAGATATTAATGATAATATACCAATATTTCATCCACAATTAAATATTATTGGAGGTTATTTATTTCATATTAAAGAGAATCAATTACCCGGTACATATATTGGACAAATTCAAGCCTATGATTTAGATGATTTACCAGCTTCCATAGATATAACACAATTATTTCATGCATATGATCAATCGAATTCATTATTAGTATTATCATCATCCTCATCATCATCATCATCATCATCATCATCATCATCATCATCATCTAATATCCATAATGTTAATAATGATGAATTCAAAGAGATTTTAAGTAGTATGGATAAAAAATTAACATATTCATTAAAAAATGAATATCATTCACAAATGTTTCGTATTGATCCTAAAACTGGAGTTATTATTACACGGTAAGTAATCATTTTAGGCTGATTATGAATACAGTGGTCTTGGGTGCTGTTAGAGGTATGAAGGCAGTTATCACTTCCCGGTTGCCCACACCATGGAAGGGTTCTTCTGGAGGTACCTGAAAAGGGAATTGGATTAGAGGCGGTCTCAGTGACCTGAGAGTGTGACCGCAGTGCCCAAGGGACAACTGTTTGAGGCCGGTCGCGCACGACCTTTTTGTGGGAGGTTTTTGACGTGTTAGCTCCGTTCTTCAAAGGGCCTTACCGCCGGAGACGGAAATCCGTGAGGTAAGGTGAGGTGCGCATTTTTAAGGTCGACCTTTTCTAACCTCACCCCTCCTTGTGGGAAGGCAACATCGCTGTCATGCTGGTTGTCTGAAGGAAACACCTTACTGCTGTCACACCTCTGTACAGTCAGCAGTACGACTTCGCCTTCGGACCTTGGGTTTGTTGCTTTTAGTCTTACCGTTCTTCAACCGACCTGTCTGACATGGTAGGACCTTGAGGAACGGTTGTTCCAGTCAATATAGCTCGATTGCTTCATCACGATAGGCAAGCCCGACCACCACGTCAAGGTAGCAACAACGGTCGGGTAAGTAATCATTAAGAAACCAGAAGTCCTAGATGATTGTTTCGTTGAATTATGGGACTTTTCAACAGTCCTCCATCCATCATCCTCGCGCGTGAACGCTTTACGACTAGACCACTGAGTCGACATCTAACAGTGATGTCTAACTTTATACAATCCACGATGTTGTACCGAGGCGAACAGAACACGGGTGAAAACAATCGAACATATTTAACACAAAAATTACAATGCATCTCAGTAAAATCTAAGAACCGTATATTAAATCGTTAATTCGCAAAATGTTCACCAGTTGTCTCAAAATGCCTCAGACTTCATTGTCCTTGCATTTTCATACAAATTGCATTCTATTCCCACTCTTGCTTTCTTAATCTTCCCTCATTTTCTGCTGCCATACATTACATTCCTGACTCGCGCCATATACTACTTATATCAATATAAGTAGCACGCACCACAGTACAACTATTCCCCCATTATCTAAAGTAGATACTTGCATCTACACAACACGAATTTGACTTCACTGATGTTTGAGCACTGCTGAGGAGTCCCATTCTAGGACCGATATCCATAATGTAAATAATGAATTGAAAGGTATTCTAAGTAGTATGGATAAAAAATTAACATATTCATTAAAAAATGAATATCATTCACAAATGTTTCGTATTGATCCTAAAACTGGAGTTATTATTACACGATAAGTAATCATAGAGAAACTAGAAGTCTTGGATGATTGTTTCGTTGAATTATGGGACTTCTCAACAGTTCGGAGGGTGGGATCGTGGATGCTCATCTCTGAGGAGTTGCATACTAAGACGTAATGGTTGTTCAGGTTTTCCACAGTGGTCTAGCTTTAATTGACTCATGATTTCAACTATTGAAGTTACTAAAATTTTCACAAAACCCCTTCTGATAATAAGCTGATAAGCAATAGTACTTAACATAATAATAATAAGTATGATTATGTAACCAACCAAATTGGGAAAAAAAGGTAAAAAAAGAGGTGAAGGATGATAAACAAAGGGTGTGATGTAGTAACAAGAACGTTTATCAAGTCTTATTTAGCAAAGAAAAGGAAAAGTGTATTTCAAATTTTATTTAAATAAAGCGACTAATTTTATTAGCTTGAACCATTGTAGCTTCTACTATACTTGTGAGACGAGATCGAATCTCATCATAGAGATTTAAAGGTGAATGATAAAGCGCTTAAGATTCTCTAGTTCTGTACTCCACATAGCATCTATCAACCAGGTATGATAGAATGGAGCTGAGTATTCACTATGTCAGACTATCTTTAGATAAGGAAGGGTGATAGTTTCTTTTTAATTTATAGAAGTGGGTAGATTCGTATATACAAACGAATTTGCGAAAACCAGGTTACACATTTTTGAGTGAGCAACTGTCATAGGGTGACTAGGAAACAATAAACGGAGATTACTTACTTACTTGCTTACTTACTAACCTAACCCTGACATCACATATGAATGTCCACTTACTTACTAGGGCTAAGTGATGGTTATAAAGCAGTATGAAGAGTAAGGATTATGATTTACTGTTGATGATTAAGGTTAGGAATTAGATTTAGGATTTTCATCATAAAGTGACATCAATTAAGATGCCAGGGCTCTATTTAGACAATCGGGTGAATGAATTTCGCGCCAAAAACCGAGACCTGTCATCCTAAATCTGATTGGTTCGTCCATAAATTATGGTCTCGCCAAATTTTCTTCAAAATCTGTTATCATTACAACGGTTATATCAGGAAAATTTCAAATCTAACGTTTAATTCTATTTATGTATTATATTACATTTTTGTATTATTTCTTGATATGTCTTCTCATTGAATGCTAGATTCAGTCACTACGTTCTTCTAGCAACCCTCAGACTAGATCTTCACAGCAACTTGAACACGAGAGAAAAGGCACGAAATATGGAAGAAACGCTTTACTCTAAAGTTTCGTTTATATACAGAAAATCTAGGGTATTTAAAGTATTTTAGATGGCCTTAGGCTTGCGGAGAACTTTGGAATGCTACTAAACATTGTAGCAACATGGCGAATCATCCAATCAGAAACTCGACATGTGACTCACTTTCTTGATGTTTCTGACAAAACTTATATCATTATTATTATTATTATTTGAACACATAAATATTGGTACAAGAGGGCACCAAATATATATGCGCCACACCATATTTATGTGTGTGTGTGTGGGCTGTTATACTGCCCCCGCCACGAGAAGGCAGTGAGTAGGACTTCCCTGGCAGAGGCTGTATACGCGTAGCCGTGTGAGAGTATTTTGAGAGGGTGGACGAACCCACCCCACTCTTGGCCACACTAGGGCGTCCGGGGGCACAAAACGTTTAGTGAGTACTGATTGAATACGATGCTTCTTCATGTTTTCAGAGCATTTTTTGTGACTTTTTTCTGAATTTTCCCTACATTTCTAATTTTGGCTTTTTTTTTAACTGAGGAGACAACCAACTTATTTAGGACTAATTTTATCACCTAAGTATTTTAATCAAATGCTAATTAAAGCTGGATCTATCGATCTTATCGAATTATCTGTTTGTTTGTGTTTTTCGAGGAACATAAGTGAACTGCTTCAAGAAATCCTCATTATTCACAAGTAAACACTTTAGTCAATATATAAACATGTCTGTTACAAAATGATTTTATCATTGATTTTTTGTCTAACTATTGACTTGATTAGGTTTGGTAGATTAAACAACTCAAAGCTAGTCACTGTCGATTGCTAGAGAATTTGAAGCAAGAACAAACTCACTGTTAAGTGTTCCTTGATATAAATGAGCTATTCAACGAGTATCAATCCGTGATAAATAACAAATCTAATCGATAATACATAGTACTGGGATTGTAGGTTTAAAACGCCAAAGAAACCCACGTTAAATGGAGCCTCTGTTCAGTCTCCTTTGACGTCCAAGAATTGTTTATTTACAGTCAGTTTGAAATCTTCATCAATGCTTACAAAACACTCATTTCACTATTAAGGATAATATAACCAGGAAGCATCATCTATGAACAAGGAAAATCGGATGCGGACGTAAACGCGAGGATTGACAAAGTAAGGGCCGCATTCCTACAATTGAAAAACATATGGAACTCAAAATAACTGTCTGCCAACCAATACCAAAGTCAAAATCTTCAATACGAACGTTAAAACAGTTCTACTGTACCGAGCTGAAACTTGGAGAACTACTACAACTATCATCAAGAAGATACAAGTGTTTATAAATAGTTATCTACGCAAGATATTCAACAGCCGTTGGCCGGATACCATCAGTAACAGAATTCTGTGGGATAGAACAAACCAGCTTCCAGCTGAACAGGAAATTAGGAAAAGACGATGGAAATGGATAGGATATACATTACGCAAATCATCAAAATGTATCAAGAGGCAATCCCTAACATGGAATCCTGAAGAAAAGTGGAAAAGAGGAAGGCCAGAGAATGCACTACGTTCGAAAATAGAAACATATATGAAAAGAATGAATAACAAGTGGAAAGAGCTGTAAAGGATTGCCCAGCACAGGGTTGGATGGAGAATGCTGGTGAGCGGCCTATGCTCCTTCACGTGGAATAACAGGCGTAAGTAATTAAGTATTCAGGTTATAATAATCTCCATTCAACATATCCATAGTTAACAATGCTGACTTCTTCAGTAGCCATGTCTAACCAGGTTCATAGAATCTTTTGATTGTTTATTTTTTTGAAAACGAAGTAGCAGTTTCAGAGAAAAAACAATAAAATATTTTTCTCTGGTTAGCGTAATTTTCAGCGAGTTAATTTTTAACTCAGATGAAGTCACCAACCCCATGCTCAGTCCTCCTCCTTTATCCGGCCTTGGGACTGGCAGTAGCCTCAGAGGGGCTCCAGGCGGGGTCAATAATATAGATATTTGGAATTCCGATTCTACCAAACAAACGTTTTTTTCTATAAAAAAAAAAGAAAAAGCAGCAGTTTCCATCCATCTAATTAATAACAACAGAAATTTATTCTATAAAGCGATTAGTTAGACTAAAGGGGAGAGGGGATGGGGGGTGGTGGTGGCGATGAATATTTTTCAACATTTAGTTCACACATCAATACTGATTGTCTGATGTATGTAACAACTAGCTATTTAATATAGACACAATCAATTTACCGATCCCTATGCCTATACAACATTACAGATGTGGAAAAAACACAATTGAAAACTGGCTTCTAGAAAATACTGCAAATGTAAATGGTTTACATCAAACAAAGACTTAAGAATGTATATATGTATGTGTGTGTGTGTGTTTGTGCGTGTGTACACTTTTATTTATATTCGTGTTGGGGTACTATTTGTTTTCTACTTTCTTGCCATCACGTCATCATCAGTCGATCGAAACCACTTGTTATATATATATATATATATA